ATATATATATTATCTGAATTCTGACACATATACAATTCAAATATACATATGGAACATATACGTTCTATGACAAAGTCATTGTCATACAAACACATATACGAAATAAAATTTATAATTTTTTTCCTTTTAATGGAGCTTCTACAATATGACGAATCCAATTATTATGGTGTTATTATCGTAGTAGAAGTCATTTTAGGCAAAAAAATATGTTAACGTGAATACTGAAATTCATTATTATTATTATTTTTGTTAGCGATCATGTATTCATTAATTAGAAGTAGATGATTTGTTTAAACTTTTAACAAATAAATCGGGATATACAAACACAAATTTTCATAGCAAACTAAACTATAGTCATAGAGCGTAATTAAATAAACTATAGATATGGAGCATTATTTGATTAAATATGTTTGCCATCTATGAAATTTATCCTAAAGTTTTGAAGTTCAGAATTTTAAATTGTTAGAATTTTAAGTTAATAATTTTCACGTGTCAAACAATTTTTTTAAAGATGCATACAATGATTAGATCAAAATTATTGGATTTGACTGAACTTATACCTTGATCTCGCCTCTATTTGAATCAATCATCTCTTACTTTCGAATATTAGACTTTAATATCAAAACTAAAATTGTATTATTCATGTTGAAGCCTAATATCCATAAGCATGTAAAAACTCACACGGTTGACCTGCATGACGACCTAGAAAAGATGTTGATCATATTCATTTGACAATCATATGATATAATTTACGTAATTTAATCATTTCACAACTTTTGATAAGTGATGGATTTTAGGTTACAAGTGCAACAACTTTATCAGAGTAGTGTATCAAATTTCTATTATTTAAAAGTAATTCTAAATTAATACATCTATCTTTATTTGTTTTTTTTTAATTTAATTGAACATGAAATTTATAAAAACAAGGAGAGCTTTAGAATTTTATAATCCTATACTAAAAAGATCATGCATCAAAAGTCTAGAATATTATCTTAATCTAGTGATCTTAAGAATAACATATTTAGTTTAAAATAAAATAGAAAGAAAAAGTGTAATGATCGCAAAACAAATTTGAATAATAAGTATTTTCAGAACAATTTTCAATTAACTGATAACTAAATTAAAATACAAGCTAAGCTAATAATGAAATAACTAAAAGTGAGAAAATCGAACATTAACTTCTAAGCTCATAACAAAAAAGTCGAACAATAGCTTAGAAGCTAATAACAAAAATAACCGAAAATGAAAAAATTGACTAGTTGATTATTCACTCAATAGATCTGCATAAAAAAAGTAGAGTTTTCTCTCCTTTGTTAGTTTGTCGAGTATTGTTCATTTTTTCTGTTTACCGTTATATTGAAAACTGAATTGGAATATAAGCTAAGCTAAAAACGAAAAATAACTGAAAATTGGAAACTTGAACAGTAGCTCCAAAGCTAATAACGAAAATAACTGAAAATGTGAAATTTAAATAGTTTCACCTAAACTAATAACAGGAAAAACTGAAAGTGAAAAATTGAACAGTAACTCCTAAGCTCGATAGATCTATAGAAACGGAAGTAGATGATACAACATTTGGAATAGATTAAGAAAGAAAAATTTAGGAAGAATGAGAAGAATTTCGGAAAAAAGATATCAGTGTGAATTCAATGTCTCATCTGCCTTACTAATCTGTTACATTACCATATCACCGAAATGAATGAACTAGCAAAACTAACTATTCCCAAACCCTAGATCTACAAAAACATAAAAACAAAATAGAAGATTTGAAATAGATTGATAATAAGGAATTGGGAAGAAGAGATGAGATAGAGTATTGTTTTTTTTTGTTATTTACCGTTATATTGATAACTGAATTGGAATATAAGCTAAGCTAATAACGAAAATAACTGGAAATTGGAAACTTGAACAGTAGCTCCAAAGCTAATAACGAAAATAACTGAAAATGTGAAAAGGCTGAAAGTGAAAAATTGTACAGTAACTCCTAAGCTCTATAGATATGTAGAAACGGAAGTAGTACAAGACTTGGAATAGATTAAGAAAGAAGAATTTAGAAGATTGAGAAGAATTTCGAGAAAAAAATATCAGTGCAAATTCGATGTCTCATATGTCCTATTAATCTGTTACATTACCATGTAACCAAAATGAATGAACTAGCAAAACTAACTAATCCCAAACCCTAGAAGCTCAATAACTCGTCATCAATCTGGATCCTCCAAGTAATGTAACTAAATTTCGAATAAACCTCCAACTCATTACATACCTGAATTAACGAAACTTTCTCAACAAATAACTTATGAGAATAAAATAAATAAGACATGTATTTCTTACCTGATTACTTTAAATCATATTTATTTACTATATTCGAGTGGTAAATTAAGATTAAAAATCAAGATTAATGTATATAAAACTATACACTAGACACTAGGAGGTGGGTAGGTGGGCGTGGGGGTGGGGTGTGATGTGACTATATTAGATCTTGTTGCCGCATTGTCTTCCCTGCGCCAAGCCCTATAGTTTCAGTATATTTTTATTTTTTCTTTTTCTGTGGTGTTTGTATTAGTTTTTTTCTATATATTTTGTTTCTTAATTTGGTAATAATTCGGAGTTGTGATCTATCCTTAGGGCTTCTTATATGAGTTGATAGGGTTAGAAAGGTGTGGATCCATCAAAGAAACATCAAATCTCAAAATTAGGGTTTCCCACCTTTTACAGTCGCGCCAGTTCCCCATCTATCTATACATACATATATATCTGATTGTGATTTTGTAGATCTTTTCAAATTTATGTTTTAATTCTATGTTTCTTTGATCTCACAACTCGGGAAAAGCAATTGTGCTTCAATTTTTTGTTCATCGGTCAATTGTCACTTTCTTTCATTTGGGGACTTTTTTTTTTTTGATCAATTTCGATTCTATCATATCGGCGCTGGGTTGGGTTTCTCGTAGATATCATAATCTTTGTGATTTGATTTAATTAGAATTGGCAGTAATGGATAAGAAGAAAGTTGTGGCACCGCTTGTTTGCCATGGGCATTCTCGTCCTGTTGTTGATCTGTCCTACAGTCCAATCACTCCTGATGGATTCTTCCTCATCAGTGCCAGCAAGGGTAATTTTTTTACCGATGATTAATTTTATGCCTTTTTGATAATTTTGATAATCGATTGAAGTGTTGAGTGTGTTGCATTCCGATTGTCAAGAATGATCTAGTACATTCTAAATTATGGAACTTTCTTTTGCTAACCCCTGCTCCAGTATTTAAAGATTGTGCTAATTACTTCTCGAAAATTCCCTTAGATTGTTTATGGTATTTACATCCTTAGAACTCCCACTCCTCCCCATTTATAGCATTTGATCTTTACCATATAAGCATGAGCTAGTTACACCACCTTAATTATGTGAGATATTCTTGGTACTGTGGTGGTAACATTTACTATAGTTTACCATTGGTTTTGTGCGTTTTAATGTATTTTTGAGCAAATAGATTAGCATTGTAGTTTCAATTGTAGGTTTTGCTGTTGAACTTTAGGATTTCATGCATTTGCTTAGAGATTGTGGAAAATACTGAGTGGCAATTGAGGAAGACAATTGGGAAGTGTTTCTGTATTTTATATAGTGTAAGGCATTGATGTGAAATGCATACTTCATTTACGTGCAGATGTTATCAAACCTTGTTAAAGTAAACCTTAATTATTTTATCTGCATTCAATTCGATCAAATATATTACCAAGCTCAATGCATTCCATGGTAGGTGTGGGCATATATCATCATCTTAAGTATTAGGTATGCCTAGTGTTTTCACCAGATGCCATAATTGGTGGTAAATAGAATGATTGGCATGCTGCGGCACTTGGGATCTTTGTTGTCAGTAGCCATTGAGATTTTCTTACTATGTTGTCGGTGTTCAGGCATGTCATCACACGTATGCTAACTGTTTTCACCTAATTCTCTACGGTGGCCAGAAAGATGGGTAAAATCTCATTTGCCTCAGATTTTTCACCACCATATCGCAGGAGCCTGGTAAAGCAGAAAATGATATAAACTAAGACGTTCTTTAGTGTATCACACCATCGTCAAAAAATCCCAGTTCTTTTTCTTCTGAATTTGTTGATTTAATGCTTTTTGTTTTTTTGCCAAGCAGACTTGGTGAAAGATAATGCACAATTAAGAAATAGATTTGTATAGGCAATACCAATTAGTCCTGGAATATGTTTCAGTCATGTTAATATATATAGTTATTTTAGATTCTCTGTCCTATGCTTTATAGGAGTTGGACATATCAAAGATTTTTATGCAAGTAGATAATATATAGAACTTTTAGTACTTTTTTTTTTTTTTTGTATAATGTTGGCTCGAGATGAATTTAAATGGAGAAACATGGTCAATGAGGATTTATGTAGCCTACTACACAACTTGTTTGGGACTTGGGTGTAGTAGTTGTTGTATTTGTTCATTTGCTGCTATAAGTTTTCATGTTGTAATTGTTCATTTGCTGCAATAAGTTTTAATGTTGTATTTGTTCATTTGCTGCAATAAATTTTCATGTTGTTACCTGTTCATAATTTCTAAATTGTTTTCATCTTGTAAGATTCTACACCAATGCTGAGAAATGGAGAGACTGGAGATTGGATTGGAACATTTGAAGGGCATAAAGGAGCCGTGTGGAGTTGTTGTTTGGATAAACATGCTCTTCGTGCTGCATCTGCATCTGCTGATTTCAGCGCGTATGTTATCTAGCGGCTTCACTTCAGTACTTTGAAAAGTAGCATTTAAGTGATATTATTATGGTGACATAAATAAGTGATGTAGAACAAAAGAAGTACTTTTGTGGCATGTCTATTATTGGTCAACCTTGCATGTCATTTTATATACATAGATTTATTAAAATAATCTCTTATAGAATACGGTAGAATCTTTGTCATCCTTTTTTAAGAATTTTCCATGGCTCAACATTGTTCTTTTTTACCTTTCTATATTGTGATTTGTGTTGGTTGTTTTCAGGAAATTGTGGGATGCATTGACTGGGGATGTATTACACTCATTTGACCACAAGCACATAGTTCGAGCATGTGCCTTTTCAGAGGTACCTCCTGCTTTACTTCTATTAAAGTTCCTTCAGGTTAGAGCTCTTTAGAGCTCTTTATATTTTCACTTAAGTTGTAGTAACCAAGTTATAATATTGATTTAATAGAATACTGTTGCACTGACCATTTTTTGGTCTTTGTTTGACACACTATAAAGGGGCTAACAAATGCACTTTGTTCTTTTATAACTTTGCATCTCCTTGATGCCTTAATGTTGAAATACCTTCATAAAACAATAGAATACTGTGAATGTATATGCCCATCAAGGCTTATGTATATTGGCGGAAATCACACTACATTGTCAAAGGGACTTCAATCCATATTTATCTTTTCCATTTATTAACCTTTACATTCAGCTAATTTTTTGAACTATTGTGTGATGGCTTAGCAGGATACAAATCTGCTACTCACTGGTGGTTTTGAAAAAATTCTTCGGATATTTGATTTAAACCGACCTGATGCACCTCCAAGGGAAATTGACAGCTCTCCTGGTTCAGTAAGGACAGTTGCTTGGCTGCACAGTGATCAAACTATTTTGAGTTCCTCTGGAGATGCTGGTGGATTGAGGTAGGCTTTCAAAGTCTGCTGAATCTAGTTGTATATTTTGTTCATTTTTTTCTTACTGGTTGCATTGGTGATGTGGCTAGTGCTCATGGTCACTTAGACTTTGCAATTAATTGATCTACTAATCAACCGTAAACTTAACCAAGTAATGTACAATACTTGCTAAATATTATTGGATACTTGATACAATGGCCATACATGTGATTCATATATCCGTATGGACTTCCACTCCCCAGATACTGTTCACTATCTTAAATTGGTTTTGATTTAATTGTTGTAAACTAGGTTATGGGACGTGAGGAGCGGCAAAGTTGTTCAAATCCTTGAAACTAAGTTTCCTGTAACCAGTGCTGAAGTAAGTCAGGATGGTCGTTACATAACAACTGCTGATGGTTCCTCTGTCAAGTTTTGGGATGCTAACCAGTATGTATTGTTTTTCATACTTCAATGGCACATAAATGCTTTAAATAAAGAATCTTGCCACAGTTTACATTGCATTTTAACTTATTTCTTTACAAGCAGCTTTGGATTGGTGAAGAGTCACGACTTGCCTTGCAAAGTTGAATCTGCTTCCCTGGAACCAAAGTTCGGTAATAGGTTCATTGCCGGAGGAGAAGATATGTGGGTTCATGTCTTTGATTTTCACACTGGAGAGGAAATTGGTAAGTTGTGTGGGGCTCTGTAAATATTTAGAAATTCTAGTTACTCTGATCAATGCCTCTAGTGTTCCTTTTTCTGGTATTTGCGTTTTCTTGACTTAAGTAGGGGTTTATGCTTCTATTTTCGTTTAAGTAGGTTCAAGCTTTAACCACACGATATATTCTATTCTTGTACAACATAGGATGCAACAAGGGACACCATGGTCCTGTGCACTGTTTGCGGTTCTCTCCAGGAGGTGAATCCTATGCCTCAGGATCTGAAGATGGGACTATTAGAATATGGCAGCTGGGCCCTCTTGGTCAGATTGAGGACAACTCCACAGCAAACGGGTCTACTACTGCAAATGCCAATGATGGTATGAGTGAGGTGACCCAAAAGATTGACGAGTTGGCTGTTTCAGAAACAAAGAAGATGGAAGAGACACAGGTCGATGGTGTGGAGCAGAAGGTAGTTGATGCCTGATTAGGAATTTAAGGGTTTTGTATGGTTTCTCCTTTTGGAAAAGCTGTAACTGGCTTGACTTCGGAGGTTTTTGCTTATGAAATAAGACTTAAGCTTTTGAGAGTGCTGGGTATTCTTTGCTTGCCCGAGATCGTAATCATCAGTTATATAGTCTTTGGAGTAGTTTTCTCTGTAGAACTGAGAGAAGTACCTAGCTCTCTTCTCAGGTTCATGTTGTCCTTGGATTTGCAATTGCTTTTACAAACCAGTAGGATGTCCAAACCAGAATAGTCGCAAACCTAGTGCCTTAATAGTATGAAAAAGTAAACTCTGTAACAAGGCTTAAATTCAATGAAATAGTACTGAGTTTTGAAAATTTTAGCTCTGTGCGCGCAGATTTGGTACCTTAGTTTTTTGATAATGTGTTGGATCTTTTAATGTCGTTGGTCGACCTTAGGATCACGATATCTTATGTAAGTCATGGGGCTGCTTTTAGTTAAAATCATATCTTAAATGGAACTAAGGGATGTGTTGATATCCAGCCTGTTTGATGATTATGATTTATGTTGAACGACCCTTTCTGTAAATGAACCTGTTTAGAGGAATGCCAATATATTTTGTAGTTCGATACAATGATAAATATGTGCAAAATGCATAATTAGGGATAGTAAATCACAGCATAAACTCCTGCGAGAATAATTAGAAAATCTAACACTGGGTAACATTAACAAGGAAGCACAACGTGGTCTGTCGCTGCATTTTTGCTTAACGAATGGAATAAGAATCAGCCGTGCCGATATAATAATTTCTCCTATGAGTAATTTCTAAATTCTGGAAGATCTCCAATAATGTAAAAAAAATTCGGAGTATGTTGTTATAAAAATTGTAATCGTGAGATGACTCCCTTTTTATATGAGAGAATTATTAATTTCATAATAGTGTAAAGAATTTATCATTAAACTAATAGTCAATCACTGTGTTTAAGTTTTACATAAATCAACTAAACAAGTACTCCCTCTATGAATTATCGATCTTTTTTATGGTTCAAAATGAATGAATTTTATAAAGTTAAAAATTGTATTAAATTATTCCCCAAAAAAATTACTTCCTTTTAAATGGAATTTTCAACTATTTTACATTTTAAAAAAAAGAAGTTAAATCTCTAATTTTGAAAATAATGATAATATTGCCAAATTAACGGGTGTAGCACAACCCAAAATTCATTTATTTTGTACCGAAGGAAGTAACCACATATTGCGTACTCCTATTTAATACACGTAAAACTCTTTCCCATCCCCAACCAAACGACCTATTTATAATATATTGACACCTCAAAATTGATCGTCCGTCTCACAGAAAAGAGAAATTGAGTGTCCGAATCAATTTCAACAAGTAACGTGACGATAGGAGGAAAATCGTGATGGATTCTGGCGATTCTTCAACGTCCATGTCTAATTTGACTCAGGTGTTCCATTTTTCTTCTGGAAACCCTCGCATCGAAGAAACCAGAGGCGTCATGCATCTCTTCTCCAACGATGTTGCTTCTTATTCATCATCTCACTTACCTGTAACTAAGCATTCCGATTCCAATCCTTCAATTCTTTGCTTGATTGTTTGATTAGGTTTTCTTCCATCTGAATTCAAAGGATATTTACATTCATATATCCGACTAGTTTCTGGTTGTTGCAATACCTGATTCGTATTTATTCTCTTTTGCGCTTCATCTGATAATGAAACCTACAATTATGTTGCCTTTTAGTATATGTGAGAATTACTGTGGAAGATGACCGCAGCTTTGCTTTACTATATGTATGTGGTGCTGAAGATTCTGAATTAACAATTCTGTTGATAATTCTATACTTCCAAACAAACTTGAATCATGAGAGACTTGTTTGATTACGGCACTTGGACATGTTAGTAAGAAAATAGAACACAAGCAGATAAACCTAATAGCTTTTCATGCGCTAAGGCTCCAATTCAGCAACATTTTGACTATACATTCAAATTCTAGTAGCTATTGAACTTTGAATATTCTTGTTGCCCTTAGTATACATCATTTTGATCTTGTATTGTTTTTCAAAACTGTAGATCAATAAATAATAGGTCTATGTTTTGTAATTAACTGATGGTCAATATCTGTGAGAGATAAAACTACAAAAACACCTTAGGATTGACTATATGAATCCCCACCATCCATGTTGATCCTTTAGAAATGAAGGCCAACAACTTATCTAGTGTCATTGCTATTGTCTCTAGGTGGAAAGAAAGCCTCTCCTCTGTGTTCTATGTGTTCCGAATCACATGACATATTCAGACTTTTGTCAGTTTTGTGGTTCATTTGTTCAACATATGTTGGAAATGCGAATTGTCAGGTACTCTCTCCTAGAATTTATGAGGTAATTATTTAACTGGTTACTTTTGATTCCTTCTGAACTTTGGTATCTTATGTGTGCTCCTCTAGGAATGATGGTATGGAAGATTGTTACAGTATATTGATCAGGTTTGATGAGCAGAAAGCTGCAGATACTTTTCACAAGCATTTTAGTGGTAGAAGATTTTCATCTCTTGAGGTATTGTTGCTCAAAAGTTCTCTCTTGCTGTGGCATCATTTATAGGTATCTCATAACATCAATTACCAGCTTGACAGCTTCTTTTCATACTCCGTTCTTTTTTATTGTTTCTTTGCTTTCAGGAAGAGACGTGCAATGTGTTATTTGCTGCTGATGTTCATTACACCGGTTCAATTGAGCGCACACAGTCATCACCTGCAAGCTCTACAGAGCAACCGTTCTGTCCTGTTTGTCTTGGTATTTTACCTAATCTAGTTTCAAAATGCTTTATTCTATTTTGGAAATGCCTTCATCTTGGAGCTTACTTATTCAACCACTGAGCACATCTAAAGTGTGATTCGCTCCAAAATGTTAGAGATTTACATCTTCATTCATTTTCCTCCAAAATGTTTGTAACTTCCATTTTAACATATAAATGTAAAAGTTTACCATTTGCTATCAATTACAGCATGTAGTAATTAAGGCCATGAGAATATCATATTAGCTTTCTTTATCATATAGCTGGTTAGTATGATCTTAGAGATAAGTTTTTCTTTTTGAGTTTATTGTATCTTTTTAGTTAAATATAGAGTTCTAGTAGGTTTTAAGAGTTCTAATACTAGGTCATCATTGAGTTCTCCACTAGAGCAAGGATTCAAGGCTAGTATCAATGAGGAATGTTTTTAAGAGTTCTATTTTATTTTAGTTTTTTGAGCACCCAAGGGTGTGACCTTGTGGTCAATGAAGTGGATTGATAATCATGAGATCTCGGGTTCAAATCCCAATAGAGACAAGAACACTAGGTGATTTTTTTTATGTATCTTACAAAATTTTAAAAAATGGGTTTCCACTCATATGTATCTTAATTCCTGTGCATTTTACAGAGAGACTGGACCAGGATACAAGTGGAATTCTCACAACCATTTGTAATCATTCCTTTCATTGTTCATGTATTTCAAAATGGACAGATTCTTCATGCCCCGTAAGTAATACCGTACTTTTATCTTTCCACCATACGTTTGATATATTCTTCATATAACTTTTTGTTTGATAACGATGGTGTTTGGGAAAGTTTGCATACACCAAGACTATTTCGCTGGTACCGGCTACCTTCCACTCGCACAGGTATTGGGTAACGCTGCCCTCCAAGGCTTAGGCAGATGGGACAAAATAACCTAGCTTTTTTGTTGTTGTTGTTGATATTTGAACCCCGCCTCCAAGTTTTTCACCCACGTCATTGACTACTAGGTACACCCTTTGGTGCTTCTTCAGAATTCAGATAGCTTTTGGCTTAGAGAATGATTTTCAACATTTCCCCACTATATCTGATATCAATAATTTTCAACATATGTAGTTTCTTTCTCTTTACTTAATGATGAACTTTGAATCAGGTGTGGCTAATAATATAGGGTTGAATTTTGATTAAATTGGCACTACAAGGGTTTAAAGTTCCAAGAGTTTTGGTTCTATTGCAAGTTTTGATAACTTGCTTATCCGAAAGTTATTTGGTAAATTAGCAGTCAGATAATCAGGTTAAGTTAGACTGATGAATGTATATAACCCTGATGCTTAGTGAAGAAAAATCTCATATACTTGAGAAAACGTATACATCCAATCGCCGAAAACAGTATAAATAGGGTCATGTCACTTGATTAACAGTGAGGGAAGATTTTTTTTTCCTTCAGTTAAGCTGGTTTTTAGACATCATATACCAGCATTAGTTAGAAAATATGTATTTCATTTGAAGACTGAAGTATTAAAAGAAATTAGCTGACTCAACTAAAACAAATTCTCTCAGGTATGCCGATATTGCCAGCAGCAGCCTGGAAACTCAACATGTTCTATCTGTCAATCACCAGAAAATCTATGGATGTGTGTTATTTGTGGTTTTGTTGGGTGTGGAAGGTAATAATACTATCTCTCTTGTTATTTGACCAATTCTATTTGAAGTTTGATCTTCTTATACCAAAATAACTTTGTGAGTGAAAATTGTTTACATCCCCAACATTCCTATAAGAATCAAACTCCTCCAAGTTTGAACAGTAGACATTTCTCCCCTTATTGAGTATTTAAAGTATATATACCCTCTATATTATCAACATACTCTCTTTTCTTTTGCATTTTAAATATCACGATGTTTTTCTCGTTTCTAAAATCTAATTTTATGGACTTACCTATATCATAAACACATTTCTCTTTTTTTTCCTCAAGGGAAACATCTCACTTTCAAAGTGAAGAAAACAAAAGTAGTAATCAACAACATACCCAATGAAATCCCACTAGGTGGGGTCTGGGTGGGTAGATTGTACGCAAACCTTAGTACTATCTCGAGGAGGTAGAGAGGCTATTTCCAAAAGAAACAAAAGTAGTAATCAAGCATATAAATTATTACATTGAATAATTAAAAAACTGAGCGGAATAAAAAAGATAGAATTAAATACTTTATTTGTATCAGTAATTTTAATAAATAGCAATTAAAACTAGAAAATTTATTACACGATTGAGGATAAAAGAGGGTGAAAAATTTGTAAGCATATACTCATGCAAGTAATACAAAAATATGGAGTAATTATTAAAAATGAAGGTAGATTTTATAACAAATTCGTAAAATATTATCTATTTATTCTTTAAATG